TACTTGAGATACTTGGTGCGACTTAGAACAAAACATAGTATTTTGCGTTACCTTGTACAAAACTTTTCTTTTCTTTGTCTGGATCTTCTGAGAGATGGAAGCAACTCACTCCCTCTACATGCGGCTCGGGTCCATATCTCGGGTATGTTTGGATGCTGACCTTATCCAAACCTTGCCTCAACTTGCCAGGCAAGGAAACGAAACATAGTTTAGTGTTTGGATCTCTGGCAAGCTTCCTCGTCTTTTGTGCTGGCAAGGTTTTTCCTTGCAATCCCATGCTAGCCAATTTGGCTCTCCCATCCTGGCAAGGGTAAGTCTAGTTTGGCCCCCCTGCTGGCAATGTGAGGCGTGGCTACCTGAGGAACCAAACTGACCTAAAGTTTTTTTCCCTTTCTATTTGTTTTGTTCATAACACTACCTTTGTTACCTAACTGGCAGTGCACTGTTGCATTGTTGCTCACTCTAGCGGGAAAAAACTTTACTAGCTCCTTTGATTTTTCTTTGTCATTTTATCTTGTCAAAGTGTGTTTTTTTGTTTGTCGTTATATGATTTCAAGAAGAGACAGCTACATTCCCCTACCATATTGAGCTTGCTACATTTTTCCAATATGCAATTCCTTTGTTCATTGCGTATCATGTGTGGTTGAAGAGACATGCAATTCCCCTACCCTATTGAGTGCTACACTTGGGTAATAGTGATATGCTATAGCTTTTCTTAATACCTGCGCACAAAGCTAAACATACAAAAAATTTACTAGCAGTCAAAGTTTATTAAGCATAGCATATTGTCTGGACTTTGGGGTATGCTTGGCAAGTTCTTTCCAAAAGGATAGCAGAAAACTAAACTACAAAAATTGTAAAACTGGTTGTTTCACAAATACATTTTTCCGTTACTTGAAATGTATTTCCATTTCTTGATAACTGCTATTACAAATAACTTTAACAATTTGTGCATTTCATTGTGATATGTGCGTTTGAAGATGCCTATTGTCCGACATGTTGGTCAAGTTGGTCCTACGTAAGGGTAGGGAATTTTGGGAGACTTTATTTACTTTATTTCTTGCTTATCAAAGTAGTTTCTAGTCTCTACCTTTCCTATAAATAGGACTATACGGATCCTGTCAGCTTAACATTAAAAGTAACACTGGTTCAAACAGTATGTAAATAGAGTATCATATTTTACCGAGTCTTGCTAGCAAAATGTGTAAGCTCTTTAAGACTCTAATAGATATGCTTGCTGGAGTGCTGGCCATGATAGCCCAAGCATGCATCAAAATTTGTAGTCTAATGTATACATTATTTTCTCTTGCCATTTTGCAGTTGACTTGCACAGCCAGAGCTTTGGAAGATGGCAAGATCACCAAGAGGTAGGAACCTCCAAGCTCGTCAACGGAGGTCAGCTTCTTCAGATGTGCCCTTGTGCTCCTGGAAGACGGAAGGAACAAACAAAGGAAATGATATGTCAGTGACCTCTGAGAAGAATGAATGGAAAGGAGCCACTTGCCCAGTTTGCTTGGAGCATCCACATGATGCTGTCCTCCTCCTGTGTACCTCTCACCACAAGGGCTGCCGACCATATATGTGTGGTACCAACTACCGTCATTCTAACTGCCTTGAACACTTTAAAGAAGCTTACACAAAGGAAAAAATGGCTCTTGGTGTTTCGGCTGAGTCTGCACCTGGCCTTCCATTATCCTCGAGCACACTGCCATCAAGCGAGCAGCCATGTGTAATGGAACTTGCCTGCCCTCTCTGCCGTGGAGAGGTTAAAGGATGGACTGTGGTTGAACCTGCGCGTCAGTATCTGAACCGGAAAAGGAGAACTTGCATGCATGATGGGTGCTCATTCCATGGCTCGTATAAGGAGCTTTGCAAGCATGTGAAGTTGAAGCACCCTTCAGCGAAACCTCGTGAAGTTGATCCTGCTACTGCAGATGAGTGGAAAAGGTTTGAATGTGAGAGAGAGCGGCAGGATGCCATCAGCACTATCAGGTCCATGAACCCAGGAGCTGTGATCATGGGGGATTATGTCCTTGAGTTGAATGGTGGTGGCAACAACCATTTGCCCTCGGATGGAGATAACTTTGACTTGGAGGAAAGGCTCAACTTCTTCACATCCTTAGATCGTACTTTGAATGAGCGAATTGACTTGTATGACTCGTCAGATAGTTTGGATGAGGGGTTTGACTTCTTGGCATCCCTGTTTACCCATGGCAGGAGAATCTCTACTGGAGGTCCATTTAGCAGGGCTTATAGAAGACATAGGGAGAGGCCTAGACGATCAACGAATTCTGTTGATGCTTCTGACATTCAGCATGAGTCAGTTAGCACTCAAAGGGGACAGCGTGCTGTTCGGGCTATAGGCAGAACTTCACGGCGGCACCATCCTATGGTGGCTCATATAAGGCCTACACGAGGCAGCTGAGAGATGAAATCACTTAGAGGGGAGGGAGGGGCTTTCATGCTATCCATCTGCAAGGGACGCAAAATAACACACCATGATAAGTTGTTGCTCTGGTGGTCGGAGGTCCATCAGATTCTTCCTCTTTTTTTTTGTCCCATTGCTGAGACAGCAACTGAGGATATAAGGTTGGATGGAGATGAGGTCTCTGTTTGGCAGATGCTGATGCCTGTATGACGTGCTCTGCGATGTGCATACAGTTTTGGGCTGAAGCAGCTCCACTTTTCCGGTGCTGCCTTTGCATGGATTTTATGAATACCCGTGCCTCGAGCTTCTTTTCCCTTTCTGTTGATCAAAGGAAACTGCAAACAGATGATTGTTTTGTCCGCAATTGCTATTTGAATGTTAGATGTCAGTATCATGAACAGCATACACAATACTGCTTATGTTCTGGTCTTGTAGTTTTGTATCCGTACGCTGTGGCCTTTGGCTGGCTTTGTTGAGTTGATATGTGAGGTCTTGACTTATTTGCCATGAGTGCATCTTCTCGTGGTTCTCTTTCACCGTGCTGCTAGGGTTATTCACCTGGTGGTACACGAAAATATCAATGCAGCTGTGTCTGTTTCAGCTGTTGCTTATGGAACTGGTTCCTGTAGTTCTATTTATCTGCTTAAAATGTGTCCCGTTTGTTTGGCCGTATAAATCAATCATATATTCATGTTGACACTGCATTTCGATTCTGCATGTCCAATTCCCATATAATTGGTTGTTAACGTTGTCTTCATGTTCAAATGGTGAATGACAGCCACTATACTAATTGATGAGAGGTGGTTCTCGAATCAATGTGGGATGATGTTCACTCACAGGAGGACCTGGTTCTCCTTGCAGATTCGGCCGCCTCCGCATGATTGAAGTGATGAGCACTGGGCTAGTGCGTTTTGCTTGTAGGTTCATTTATATTATAAGCTCTGAGATGATGTAAACCTGCATGGATAGGTCTGGTTCATTTGTTTGTAGAACCGTGTAGACAAGATGATCTGATTGGTTTCCTTTAGCGCCGGCCTATCTGTGATGATTATGTTGTTTGGCCTTATGCGTGTTAAAATCTAAACTTGCTAGGACGACAATCATCAGGGGCTGATTTAGAAACTTAAATTTGACAGATAACTCATTTTATGCAAGGGAACAGTTAATTGGAATGGCTTGGAAATTCTAAGCTCCACTGGCATGCCGCATAGGTATGGAACCTAAGTCTCCAATAACTCTAGAAACAAATGCCACCTTAAGAGTTTCTGTATACTAATCGATTCAAATTCATGAAGCATGGGGGTAATGTGGGCTTAGGTTGTTGCTATTGTCCTCGGTTGTTTGTATACCTCAAGCCTGCCGTAGCCAGGCTCAATTTATGTGTGAGCGCACCAATTGGATTGCTGAAACAAAAAGTAGATGTCACAATACTAAGTCCTTGGGATTTATATGGTTAGATTGGAATGCTCTTAAACATTAGGCCCTTATTGGATGTGTCCTGTTAAAGCATCAAACCTCTAATCTAGTTTATTGCCTGATTTGTACTATATGTTAGGCAGATTAGATATACGTGATTATGTGAAGCAGAGTGAACGTCTCATTTCTTATCAAATGGAATATTCTTTTGAAACAGTTTGAACGGGTTCCTGGCGGTTATTGCTATTTGCTGCCTGGATGGTTGTCTGAAGATGCCTTCTAATTGTTTTGCTGTCATCTGAGAAGTTAATTCTCCCTGACATCTGTGAAGGAAAAAGTTTGAATGTGAAAGCGGCAGGATGCAACCGGCACTGTCACGGCCATGAACCCAGGAGCTGTATTCATGCCATCATGGTGGTGGCAAAAACTGATGGAGATAACTCTAACTTGGAGGAAAGACTTCAACTTTTTCACGTCCTCAGATCACAGACACAGAGTGTGATGATTGACTTGCACGAATCATCAGATGGTGGCTTTGGGTGACGACTTTGACTTCTTGTAGTCTCTACTGGAGATTCGATGATTCATTGAGCAGGGGACAGGGGTTATACAAGACGGAGAGGCCAAGCGAAGTGACATTTTTGTAGCACATATGAACCCAGCCAACCAAACCGAGTGACATTTCTGTCATCAATACTCTCTGTAACAGATGCTTCTAACGTTCTGCATTCCCGGTGCTGTCTTTGCACGGATATTGCACCCTTTCTGCCATTGCAGAAGACAGTGTATTAAGTTGGGATGAAACATGTTTACTCAGCTGATTCTTTTCCTTACAAATTCCATTCCACAGCACCGTACGTGTATCAGTTGTGTCGATGAAGTGACAGTTACCAAAAAAGCACATACTGGAGGAGTACACGTAGTAAAAAAGACAAGTGGTTCGCGTCATTCTTGCAGGGTCTATGCACTCGTCAAAACAAACAACCTGGACAATTTCTCACATGCTCACTATCGACATCTGACATAGTACGAGCTATCAAATGAACCTACAAAGAAAAGCAGTTGGTTTGTTCTCCATCAGAATATCTTCTATCTGCACTCAATTTGTACATTCCTCCAGTGAAAACTCTGCACCTGGGTCACAGGTGGGAGGGATTCAGGAGATGCCGACGGTCTTGCCGAGCAGCCACATGACGAGCGAGAACTCGATCATGAAGAGCGCGTGCAGCCACGCCCGGTCCACCACGAAGCCGTACACTGTGATCCCCGCCCGGTTGTTCTCCAGGTACGTCACTGCATTTCAATTCATATCGGCCGGCGCCCGGCGGCCGTCAGCAACAAGGAGGAGCAGCAGCAGCAAATGCAGTCTGTGGTAGCTACTTACCCAGCGCCTGCCTCTTCTGGAAGCTGATGTTGTTGGCCTGGAACGGCACGTACTTTGGGTCGTCGAGCGAGGAGCACTCGCTCCGGCTGTCGTCGTCGTCATCGCTGGCGGACTCGTCGCCGGCGGCCACGCGGTAGGCGTTGGCGGGCGCCAGGTAGCCCGCGGTGGGCGGCAGGTCCGGGTCCGGGTTCTCCTGGTCGTTGTCGAAGGCGTGCACCGTGGCGTCCGCGTGCCACGCCGCCGCCACGCTCGTCATCGCCTGCGTCTTGTGCGTGATCTTCGCCGCGCTGTACAGGCACATCAGCAGCCCCGCCACTAGGCTGATCGAGCACAGCTGCACGCACAACGCACGGAATGCCAAAGTAAGTTTACACTTCTGTCTGATTTTTTTTATTACCACTATAAACATTATATCCTGTTTGCCATAAACTGAATTCATCTGGGACTGAAAAGATGATCGGTTTTCCTCAAAGAAAAGTTCATGTCACTATATATATAGAAGAGAATCTGTAAATCGTCGTCCCTCTGTCGGCATTGTGCAGAGCAGATCTACCTGCATAACCTTCCCGACACACGGCAGCTGTGTACTTTCGCTGTGCGATAGGACGTTTAGACACATACATGGAGTATTAAATATAGACCAATTACGAAACTAAATACACAGATTAAAATTCATTTGTGAGACGATTTTTTAAGCCTAATTAGCCCATGATTTGACAATGTGGTGCTACAGTGAACGCGTGCTAACGATGGATTGATTAGGCTTAATAAATTCGTCTCGCGGATTACTGATGGTATAATTTGTTTTTTTTATTAATATCCGAACACCTCATGCGACACCCCATGTGACATCCAATGAGAGGCCTCTTAAACTATAGTCCGGCCTTGTTTAGATTGTAAGTTTTTTCACACTCTCTCCATCACATCAAATCTTTGGACACATGCATGGAGTATTAAATGTAGATAAAAAAATAACCAATTACACAGTTTAATTGTAATTTACGAGACGAATCTTTTGAGCCTAGTTAGGCCATGATTGGACAATAATTGTCAAATACAAACGAAAGTGCTACAGTGCCAAATACTAATTCCTAATCCCAATCTAAACAAGGCCTCCCTGCATTTAAACACCACATCTTAAACTATAAGTCAAACAAGTCCAAACGAATACGGTGAATATCGATTGCTCAAGGAAAACGAATACGGTGAATACCGATTGCTCAAGGAAATATAGCTGTCCCTGTCCGCTGTGGACCATCAGCTGCCTGTTCCGGAGGCCGTATCGTATCGTGGATTATTTACTGCTGCCTGGTTTGGTGTGAGAGAAAAATACTGTTCCCGGCTGGAAATTTACGATCGTTTACGAGCAAGCGAACAGGCTGTGTGTGGTTGCTCACTTGCACTTGCCAGTCGTGGCTGATCACTGACGAGTGGAAGGTGTTGATGGTTCTTTCATAGTGGTCTGGACATCTGTGTACCCTTTTGGTTTTGGCCTTTTGGGCGTGCAAGCTTTTCCTCCAACTTTCCATTTACAGCTGTCCTGGCATCACCTGATTTGGCATTTCTCGTAGTACCGAACTAGGAGTACTACCTAGATCTTGATTTCAAAATTGGCCATGTCACAAGTGCACCCGTACTACGACTGATATGCATGATCCATATTCCATTTACGATATGCATATGCCTTATTTTTAACTAACAACAGGTTACTCTGCTCCCTGTTCCACTACCACTGTTGTATTCAGAAAATGTCACATCTTTGATCCATACGACTTCAATCCAACTAAGGACACATGTTCATGTTGCTCGCTTTATTAGTTCGTAGTTCTCCATCCAAGGGTTTGTTTACGATTTTGGATAAGTAGTAAGAATTAGATGCGGTATAGTCCAATTTGGATTTCCACTGCACAAAGCCTAATTTTTCTCACATATGAGTGTACTAGAATTCTTATGCTTCAGGAGAAAGAGCAATAATATAATTAAACCTGAAGAAACAGCAAATACATACACACACACACACACACACACACACACACACACACACACACACACACACACACACACACATATATATAATTAACAATTACTCACCGCGAGCTCGCCGGCGGTGGCGAGATTGACGACGGCGTGCGGTCTGGTGGTGGCGAGCAGCGCGGCGAACTGGCTGGCGGAGACGAGCACGAGGCTGCAGACGATGAACTTGCGGTACAGGTGGCTGATCTTCCTGAGCTGCTCCCTGATCCGGCGGTGGTGCTGCAGCACGGTGGCGACGTCGGCGAACCTGCCGAACTCGCGCGCGAACCCGACCATCCGCAGGATCTGCAGGTAGCAGATGACCCGGAAGAGGACGCAGACCATGAAGAAGAGCGCGACGCGGTACACCCAGGAGGCGACCTCGACGGCGCAGCAGGCCGCGGCGGCCCACCACCAGCGGCGTGAGCGCGAGCCGCCGTACGCGGCGGCGGCGGCGGCTTGGTAGTACCAGTAGGCCTTGTAGGCGGCCTCGGCGAGCGCGCAGGGGAGCACGAAGCAGGTGAGGACGCGGAAGGAGCGCGCCAGCTGCGCGGCGTACCCCGCCTGCACGTCCTCGGAGTCGCGGCGGAGGCTGTCGAGGTAGAGCAGGCGGCGGAGCCCGCCCGCGCGGTGGAGCAGCGCGCGGAGGGAGACGTAGGCGAGCGACGCCGGCAGGGTCAGCGAGACCTGGACCTGCCCGTCGAAGGGCCGCGGCGGGGGGTCGGCGACGGGGGGGAGGAGGCGGACGGCCGCGGGCGCCGCGACGGCGAGGAGGAGGAAGACCGCCCAGGAGCCCACGGCCGCCACGCGCGGGGAGGAGGAGTGGTCGACGCAGAGCCAGGCGAGGCAGGCGCGGAAGCTGCGGAGCTCGTCGTTCGCGCTCGACGCGCACCGCGCTAACCGCGCCGCGGTGGCCGGTGACTTCCCCGGCGCCGGCGGCAGTAGCGGCGACGCGTCCGCCATCGGTGCTCGCTTTCCTGGCGGGGCTTGGGTGTCGGCACGGAGCGGGCGACCGGGAGTCCGGGAGTGGAGGGCGAAGTGGGGTGAGGTGGCTCTGTCTCTGTCCGGCTGCGCGTGGGCCGCCCGGGAGACAGGGAGAGATACGCGCGGCTGGGAGATGGCGAGGGTGGATGGCGCGGCGCGTTCCAGTTGGGCCTGCTCTTGTGCTCTCTCTGGGTCTGGGATCTACAGTACATACGTATACTCTTGACCTTGAATGAGGCGACGACAGAATTACGTGTGCACACATCCCATCGACTGTGGAGCGGCTATGCGTGATGATGGTGGCATCATCGCATCAATATGCAGTATTGGCCTCTTCGGTTCCCGCATGGGTCGAACCAAGCCCGTGGGGTGCGAGGAGCCCATGTTTGGTTGCCCGCACGGCCTATTGTATTCAGAGTGCCTCCAAGATGATACCGACGCTTTAGCAAATGACGACGGTTCCGTTCGCGTGACCTTAAATTTTGATCCGTTTTTTTTAATCTAGAACAGTGTTTTCTCTTATAAATTTCTTCAGCATTCCTTCAAACCATCCAAATTCCTTCAGAATTCCTCCAAGCGAACAAACTCAACATATTGTAACAAAAATGGAGGGTCAAAATCTATTTTGTATGGCATTCTAAGTTTCGGTTGCAAATTCCCTTTCATGTGTTGAATTTGGATATTTGAAAATGAGAGTAGTAGTTTTGCATTGAAGAGTAAATCATATAAGTTTGCTATGTGTCATAAATATATATTTGCTGAAGAGTAAATCATATAAGTTTGTTATGTGTCATAAATGTACATTTCCTATGTTAACAAAAGTAGCACTTCAGTATAGTATGCATAAAACAACAACAATAATCTCTTTCGGGACTACGAGTACTGCTAGGGCCTAGGCATCTTTTAGTAGTCGCCTGATACTGAAATTTGGCTTATGTTGATGCTTATGCTGAAATATTGTGAGAGAAAAATAATGTTTCATGACTGAAAAGTAGTTCTGAATAAGCTTAAGCAAACAGGGCGATGGATTGCAACCAAAATGATGAGTAGAAAGCCAGCCGAAACTAGGCCTATTTGGTTTTTTGAGAGAAGTAGTTTCACGGCTAAAAGTAGTTCTCTTGAATTATCTAAGATAAACTATAGGTGAAAGGTGATTATGTGCAAGAAGAAGCTATTTTTTTAGCTTACTCTAGAAGGTAGAGCTGACAATGAAGATTTTGTTTTAAAGGTTCTAGAAGGTAATGGTGCTCGCAGGCCTCATTGGCATGATCGGCGTGACTCGGTTTATATGAAGGGTAAAGTATAATTTACACCCTCCAACTTTCATCAAAGTATGGATTTCAACCTCGAACTTCAAAACTGGACAACTTTGGCCCTCCAACTCTCGAAAAAGTTCAACTTTCAACCTTCTGGGCGGTTTTGCAAATGAACAGTAACTTTTGATATTTTCGGGAGCGCCGAAATTTTATATTATTTTTTCGAGCATTTTAACGTCCTCAAATGAAAAAACTCAAAACTACAAAGTTCTAAATCTCATCGGGAGCGCCGAAATTTGGCTTATGTTGATGCTTATGCTGAAATATTGTGAGAGAAAAACAATGTTCCATGACTGAAAAGTAGTTCTGAATAAGCTCAAGCAAACAGGGCTATGGATTGCAACCAAAATGATGAGTAGAAAGCCAGCCGAAACTAGGCCTATTTGGTTTTTTGAGAGAAGTAGTTTCACGGCTAAAAGTAGTTCTCTTGAATTGTCTAAGATAAACTATAGGTGAAAGGTGATTCTGTGCAAGAAGTGAATCGAAAGAAGCTACTTTTTTTTAGCTTACTCTAGAAGGTAGAGCTGACAATGACGATTTTGTTTTAAAGGTCCTAGAAGGTAATGGTGCTCGCAGGCCTCATCGGCATGAATGCATGATCGGCGTGACTCGGTATATATGAAAGACGACGGCATGTATGTTTTTAGAAACGAATAAAAGTGAACTGTTGATAGACTGTATCTTTTCCGCGTCCAATAGTTTTTAGAAATGTTTAAAAAGCAAAAATTTAGGACTCGGTTTTTAATACTAGTATTGCTCTAAAACATTATTTGAATCATGGGTAGCTCTGCCAGATAGCCCGAAATTATCGGGGTCAGGAATCTGATCACTGGGTTGGAGCTCATAATCATTCACCTCCCAATTATTATTATTGTTAATCCCATCTCTCCGTGATACGTGGGCATCGGTACTGGTGCTGTTTTTATCGTGATCGCTTGTTTGGAGATCCACTTTCCATGGACAAATAAGAGCGCAGCACCTCATGCATCGTGCAGCCATGCCAATGCTTTCCAACTAGATTAGAGACAGAAGAGTACAAGTACTCCTAGAACACAGGAGTTGAGTAGTGAACTGACATGGTGGAAGCAGTTGGCAGCAGAAAAAACAAAGCGTGTCGAGGCGAGACACATCACACATCACACATCAGTACATCACACGTGTATGCATCCGCAGCCTTACCCCCTTGAACCGTCTCCAACAGCTCATGCAAACAGCGACGCAAACCCAAAATACGTGATGTACAGTGTTTTAGCCAAAGAAAATCAACTCCAACAGAAGACGTAAACGGAGCATGCATTTTTGGTACAAGGCCAACCGGGACGCTTATTTGCGTCGTCTTTCTCCAAGACGCAAAGTCCCGTAGGAGGCGTCGGGGTGGAGCAGAGGTGGGTGCCAGGCGGGACCGCGGCGGGGTGTGGCCGGCTCTTCGAGGCGAGCTTGCCGTGGGAGCACCTCCGGAGCCGCCGGCTTTGCTTGCCTCACCGGATCTAGGACCGCCGAGAAGCCCCTCCTCCACACCGTCCTCGTCCTCGTCCTCCTTCGACATTAAGCCCTCCGGAGGTACTTGGCGTCGGAGCCGAGGTCGAAGTAGTCGTGCTTGATGGCGCCGGCGTCGTCCTCTCCGCCGTCGGCGTACGGCTTGCGCGCAGCGTGAGGAGCAGGCGGCGCTCCAGCTCGCCCGCCGCGCTGCCACGCCGAGGGAGAGGGAGAGAGAGAAAGGGGAGGCGGGAGGGGAGGGGGCGCGGACGGGAGCCACAGCGCGGTGGCACGGGCGGAGGGGGGGGTATGGGACGAGGAGTGAGGGAGAGAGAGACGGATAGAGAGATGGAGTAGGTGATGAGATATTTTGGGCAGGTGGAAGCGAATGAGCGGCCATCGTTTTTCGGGCGACGTGGCTCAACCCAGGCCACGGAGAGCAGTTCTGGGCGACGTGGACAGGGAGAGAGGTGGGCTGTTGGAGAAGAAAGGTTTTGAGTCAATGATTTATTTACTGTACATAACCCAAATACTAAAATGGATCGTTGATTTAGGTATGGGCTGTTGGAGATAGTCTTACCAAAAAGAGCAATGATAAGCTACACTCTGGTATGGAAATCTTGGACTTGCAAAGGTCCAGTTTAGATGTCGAAATTTTTTGCAAAATGACATTGTATCAGTTTTCGTTGTTATTTGGCAATTAGTGTCCAATCATAGTCTAATTAGGCTTAAAAGATTCGTATCATGGATTTCGTCTAAACTGTGTAATTAGTTTTATTTTTATTTATATTTAATGCTTCATACATGCGTCAAAGATTCGATGTGATGGGAAATCTTAAAAAATTTAGCATTTTAGAGTGGAACTAAACGGTACCAAAGCAAGCTCTCCCATCTGTTTGGATATCTGTCACGCGTTTCATCATCTCAGGCCGTCATTTCTGTCGACGGGTCCAGGCCGGGGGCCCTCTCCTTTTGTTTTCGTAGCTCCGTCACCGAGTGCAGGGATGTATCCGCGCTCCAGCGCTTCGATTGACAGCTTATGCACGCGACCAATCAATTCCCGGAGAGATGATACAACGAGAGAAATACTCATGTTGCATCACCAGTCAGTTTAATTGATTGGCATTGTTTGCTCGGCGCAAAAGTTTAGTCCGATCACATTGATTTTTGGTAAGTACGAAACATAAGCTAATTTGCAAGATGAATTTATTAAGTCTAATTAGTCTATGATTGGAAATATTTGCTAATTATAGATTAATTAGGCTTAATAGATTCATCTCGCTAATTGGTTTAGTCCTGTGCAATTAGTTTTATAATTAGCTCATGTTTAGTCATCCTAGTTAGCATCCGAACGTCCGATGTGATATGACTAAATTTTAGCCCATGGATCAAACACAGCCTAGGCCATACCTATTTGAGCTGCCGCTTTTAAACTTTTGGCTCAAAAGCTAACCTTCTGCTCTTGTACTCTCTCCATTTCAAATTATAACTTATTTTAACTTTTTGAGAGTCAAAACATCTCAAGTTTAACTAAAATTATAGAGTTTTATGACATTAAATAGATATACTATAAAAAATAATAAAGAATATCTAGTTATACTTTTTTTATCATAACTGTTATTATTTTATTATATAAATTTGGTTAAACTCGAGATGCTTTTTACTCTCTAAGAAATTAGAATGATTTATAATTTAGAATGGATGGAGTAGTAAATTTTGAGCCGAAAGACTAAAAAAACTTCCCATAATATTTTTTAATAAAGTAACAGGTAGCCTGTTCGTTTGGCTGTGCCTTGTCGTAAACGATCGTAAATTTTCAGCTGAAACAGTATTTTTCTCTTACACAAACCAGCAAGCAGTACTTATTCACGAATCAGCAACGAAACGAACCAGCCAACCAAACAGGCCGAGGAGCTCTACCTTACAAGCTCCTCAGAACATGCTTTTCAGCTTTTAGTTTATTTCCTAAGAAGTTAGTTTTTTAGTTTTCTAAAGCTTGCTCAACAATTACTTAGACTGCTTGTTTCAGCTTTGCTGGTCTGAGTTTACTAAGAGTAGATTACTAAATAAATGAAAATGAGATCTAAATATTTTCTCATTTTAGTGTGGATAAAACTAGCTAGTCAACCATCCAGATTTAATAGTCCAAAATCTGCTCTAACTCTAGCTGATCCAAATATGATTGATGGAATATAGGAATCTCGCTTGTTTGGTCTTGTGATCTTGTCGCTCCTGTTAGTAATACTGATTTTATCACGCTTCCATGCATGGTGGACGCTCGGGCATCTGTACTGGGGTGTCAAAACGGAATTCCCTGTCGGAGATAGCTCCCGATCTCTCTGTCCTGTCCCCCGGAGAGAAAAATTTCCCATCCCCAACCCCACGAACGCTTGCAAGAAAGCTTTTCCTCCTATCCCCGTCCTAGCACGGAAAATTTATCCCCGCACGGATCCCATCCACATTATAAAATACAATATTTGGAGGGTGAAAGCAAATGTATGGTGCAAAACCAATATAAATTGAACAAGAAATATTTCATATGACAAGAGACATCTACTTTAGGGTTTAGTTTGCTATTTAACTAGGCCATGTATAGTGTTTTTGTAGGATTTCAAAGTGTCAAAAGTCTAATTTGGGTAAGAGTGAGTTTACAGGGCGGGTTCATGGGAAGCAGAGATGGGGGATAGTTCCCCATCCCATTTCCGCGAACCCAATGGGGACAAAAAATTTCCCCTTTCATCCTTATTGGGATTAAATTGCCCCCATCTCTGTCCCCAAGGGGCCCCTTTAGAACGCAAGAATTTCACGGGATTTATATAGAATTTTCATAGGAATCAATTCATTTTCACAGGAAAAACGTAGAAAATAGGAAAGTTTCCTTTGTTCTAAAAGGGGCCTAATAGGGGAATTTTCCTTAGGGAATCATAGATCCGATGCCCATTGCGATCTCTAATTTGTACGTAGGTGTCTCGTTGCAGCCGCCTTGATCATCAGCCTATTCGGCTGGGGTTGAAACGATCGTATACGATCGTGGATTATTACTGCTGGCTGGTTTGGTGTGAAAGAAAAATATTGTTCTGGCTGATTTGATGTTAGGAATTCCATATCCAAAGGAGAGAATCATCGGATCGGAACCCAAGAAAAGTGTTGGGGGAGCACATGTGGATGAGTGCATCAGTGATCGAGACCCCAGCGCGAATGGATGCCCTACCAGTACCAGTACCAGTACCAGCACCACCCCTCAGCTCATCTCAAGCAATCATCTTTTTTTTTTAATAATGGAACGAGGTTTCAGCCTCTACGTCGTTTGATGACATATACAGCTATTTAAATAAAAACACAAGCTCCTAGACTCATACCAAATACATTGAAGAGATAAGATAAAAAAAAACTAATAGTCTAGATAACTGGATAAAAATGAAACCAAAGCTTCACTATTCGAGAATTTACATTCAAACTTAGCGAAGATCTCTATAATTACCGTCTCTAAAAGCCTGGAACCATTTTTCATGTTGTTTCTCCTTATTCAGCAGCTCATGCAGTCATGCCTCATGCTTTGAATTTTAGTCGCTGGAACAGAGAGCATATCTCTGACGAAAAGTTTTGCTGTTAATTTCAAACGGGAGCATGACGGGCCTGCAGGAGCTGAAGCTGACTCGTTTGCATGCACGCAACAGCATTCAGCATCCCACAACAGAAGAAACGTGCATGCTGTTTTGGAGGAAACGCTGTCTGACAAACAACAAACTTCATCAATCGAATCATGTCATACGTGGACGTGGGGCTTGCTTCTCAACGACTGGTAGTATTGGGCCACCTCCTGGGCTGCCCACTCGCCATCTGGATGCACTAGATATAGAGTAGTTATTATTATTAGATAGATAAATCTGCTCAAAAAAAAGATAGATAAATGAGAATGTTTATCAAAGTCCTCTGTCACCGTATAATTTTGTGGATAAGCTTGTATCAGAGTAAGGAGAGGAGATGCATGTGCAGCGGTCATAGGCTTGGCTGCGCGAACGGCGGCCGGCGCACCCCGCACAGGTGTCGTTAAAATCAATGTTGATGCAACTTTGTAAGAATGTATCCATGGCATCGGTGGTAGCATTAGCGAGAGACGAGGACGGTCGTTTTATGGGCGCCTCGATGTTGGTCCTTCGGGGCATTGTTGATCCAGAGGTGATGAATCCACGTATGTAGAGAAGGGATAGCTCTTGCTTTAGACTTACATGTTGATAGTATCATATTGGTTAGTGACTGTCTGAACATGACGAAGAGCATTCGATAAGGTGATCTTGGGATCTAGGAACAGGTTATCCAGGAGATCAATGCGAGGAAGGCAGCTTTTAGTAGTGTCAAGTTTGTACATGAGCATAGGGACTCAAACACTGATGCTCATAGAATAGCTCGTAGCTCGATCCATGTCGAGGTAGGACGGCATGTGTGGTTCTTGAATCCACCTGATGGTGTGTGTAATATGTATAATCCTCAAATTTAAATAAAGAGGTGCTGTTGCTCAAATAAAAGTTATTATTAGATAGATACTGGTGAGTGGTGACAATCTTTTTCTTTTGATTTTTTCTTATATATTTGTTTATCTCACTACTAGTCCATCCACTTGTGCTACTACACGAATACCTATGACTAATTAAAATTATCTATCTTTGCACACGACTAATCAAAATTATCACCCTGTTCGCTTGAGCTACTTTTCAGCCATGGAATAATGTTTTTCTCTCACAACATTTCAGTATAAGTATCAGCGTAAGCCAAATTCAGCATAAGCAAACAGGGTGTATATATCTTTGCATACTCACTTTATCTATTTTCGAACTCAATCACCGCAACAGAAACTGTTAGATCCTACGCCAGTACGCCTAGCACCGTGCCGGAGGTTGGAATTGAACCAGCAGTAAGCTGCAACGCTGTCGGTTCCAAACATTCCCACCAAAAAATAAATCAAGAAGAGGCCACAAACTGGCGATAACACTCCGCAATTCTATCACCACTGCGGGGCTCACTCTACAACAGGTAGTAATATAGAGTTTGGATCCGAGATTTTCACAAAATCCAGTTAAATTAGCTTTCCTTGCATCCACCCTCTCCCTCACTTAGATCTCTCTGTGCCCCTCTCACTCCCTTAGATCTCTCTGTGCAACAGTGGCGAGACCACACAGTGGCAGTTTTAGGATCGAGATGGCCGACTAAAGTCAGGTAAGAGAAGGTGAATAATCATTTTTAAACATTAATTATGAGGACTAGCCAAATTAAATGTGAAAGTGAGCTAACAGTCTAGACTCAACTACACCCCTCTAACTAAATTTGAAGCACCCTAATAAAAGAGTAAACTAGTAAGCAACTAAGGTGCCAAACTTGAAATAATTCTAGTTAGCAAGGTCAAACAACAAGCTACTAGAACACAAGTACACATAAACTCTTACACATACTAGTGAGCAAACAATAGAAGCTAACTACAAACTATACTAGTAAGCAACTACACTTAGCACAAGAGCAACAACACTAGCACAATATAAAACAAGTAAGCAAGTTAGTGTCGAGATATACAAACAACAATGTAGAAGATAACACATGATATTTCCCTATGGTTCGGTGACTTGCCACTGCCGGTCACTTGGTCCACATTGAAGCGAGTTCTAGGATTGCCGTTCCTCTCGCTAGCTCCAAAGCCCACAAGCTTCGGACTACCTCTCGAGGTAGGTTCCAACATGAGCAATAAACTTTGAGACGGGCGAATCAACTAGACACTCACACACAGTGGCGAAGGGTGAACTAAAATGTAGAGGGGGAAGATTTGCGTAATGATAATTAGTACTAATAAATACACTAGTGCTACAGTGATATAATTGTAGGATTAGCACATGCTAGGGAGTGTAGGAGCCGCGCTAGCAGGCCGAGGCCGTGAGGCCCACGTTAGTTGAGTGAGAAGACAAATAGTGGGCTGGTGAGAGTGCTACTTTGCTGAACAATCTGTCCTAGTGCTAACATGGGCTTGGAAGTTCAGGCAAGAGACAGGGCGCCCTTAATTTGCTGCAAGCAAGGGGGGCGGTAGCCCAGTTTCATTTTCACTGGCTCCGCCCTGCTCACACGCGTCTCAATTTTACTAGAGATGATTTTCGCCTTCCTCCAACAGGGATGAGTTCAATAGTCCCGAATAAAGCCTTCTTCAGACCGCCACACAAACTTCTCGTAGGCTTCCACAGAGATACAATCACCAAGCCGCCTAGGAATCGGCAAGCTCCAGAAGTAACAAGCAAATACTATTGCAAAACAACACCTACTGCCACTTGATCAATCTCTCAAATACGTGCACTAGGATAACTCTCCACCTCTCTAAACTTGCCTCACATGAAGTGTATGAGGAGAGGAGAAATGGGGCTCTCTTCAAGTGTATAGGCTTCCCAAAGTGCCATGAGAGTCCAATCCCACGGCCACCCCTCTGTTTATAGAGGGGGATTCAAAACTAGCTATTTTGGGCTCCAACTCGAGCCTTTGGTGACCTGGCGGTCTGACTGTCAGCCCGGCATCAGACCGACCAGGCCTAACGGTTGGCTTCACGCCATCCCAATAGCTCTTGTGAAAAATGGTGTGAGCGAACTGTCAGTGGACCCGGTGGTCTGACCCATGCCCATGCTGACTGTAGCACTATACCCGTCGTGCCGAACTGTGCTAGGGCCGTGCTTTTTAGGGTCGGGCTAGTGTTGGCCCATCATGCCCAGGGACGGATCTAGCGGTGGGGGGGGGGGGCTCAAGCCCCCTACCGCCGTTGATCCCATGCAGCCCCTAGAGCTCCTCTAAGATTTTTTTTCATGATTGTTTTGAGGAGGAGAGGCTGGAGGTTGAAGATGAACTTTTGGTCCCTCCGAACTTTCATCCTAGCTGATACACTCAGTGATTGTGCCTAGCTGTTTGGCCATATATATGTTCTTCCAACTGTTGTAGCGTTTGATATGATAATATAATATGTAATCACAAACTGGAAATCTCACAACACGGCGCATCTAAAAAAAATATCAGACAAGTCTTTCTGATATATATCTCCATATTGCATTTTGAAAATGTTGTGTAGGTAATGGAAACAAGAACTGAGTTCGCTGGAATGATCTTGGACTGGACGACGACCGAGCAGGCGATAGATCGATTGCCAGAGAGGCCACTCAGGCGTCGTCGTTGGTCAGGCGGGCCCAGAGCCTGGCGTAGACAACAGTGGCGGCCATGGACAGCACCATCCCGACGAGGAGGAAGACCACGGGGACGGTCGCCTTGTTGTAGTAGTCGATGAGATCGTCCTTTGTTCTGGTATCGTCCCATCTCACGTGGTGGACGTACCGCAGGACGTCGTCCGTGGCGCCGAACCCCGCGCCGATGCCGCTGGCCAGCATGACGGTCACCACCTGCATGCATGCATGCATGGGCGCAGCAGCATCAGCAGGTGTACCACCACCACCAGCCAAATCGACCTACGCATAATTAATAAGGAGCAACGTGCCCTGCGTACCACGTCAGCGCACAAGCTTATGTCAAAGATGAGGGCGCTGCTGGATGACGACGTTGCCACGCGCTTGCTCTAGCTTGCAGAGGAGGTAGAAGGCGACGGGGAGCTGCAGCACGCCGGCGGCCGTCCCGATCACCGCCGCCGCCGCCATGTACCTTCACATAATAACTTGGGTTAATTTGGACATCGATCATATATAACTTAGGTTGCAGGGGCATATATGCACGCACGTGTAGCTCTGGAACTTGTTGAAGTCGTCCACGTCACTACCGGAAACGCGTGCTTTGCCAAGGGCATGAGGCTTTGCCGAGGGCCAAATCTCGGGCACTCGGCAAAGACACTCTTTGCCGAGGGCCAGCCACAGGAGCCCTCGGCAAAGAGGCCTTTGCCGAGGGTCCGGCCCTCGGCAAAGACAGGCCCATGGCAAATCAAATCTTTGCCGAGGGGGCCCTCGGCAAATTAGGCCCGTTGGATCACGGCGGCCATTCCCGTCAAGCTTTGCCGAGGGCCACCCATTAGGCCCTCGGCAAAGGTTTTTTTTCCCTGTGAAACCAGTTTTTCGGTAATGTTTTTTTTAAAAAAAGTCTTTGCCGAGGGCCCTAGACCAGGCCCTCGGCAAAGATTTTTTTAACCAGTTTTTCGGCCAAATTTTTTTTATAAATCGTCTTTGCTGAGGGCCCGAGGCGAGGCCCGATCGGCAAAGATTTTTTTTTTGGTTTTTTTAGCCCAGTTTTTTTGTGGTGCTACAATACATTGTTTTGAACTCAATTTTAAAATTGAGGCCAATTTTGACTTTTTTTTCTATATTTCCTTAATTTATTTCGATTCTTTGATTTTTTTGAATATGTCAAATTTGAACTGCAGGTGCATGGAATATTGCAATATAGTGTTTCGAAAAATGTTATTCATGTTAATTGGTGCATGTTGAGTCCCTATCCACGAACTCGCATCAAATTTCGCGCATCTTCTTTGCGTAACATGACGACCGACTTACCGGAAAAGTGTTTTAAAATCATATAAAATCCATACGAAGTCTGAAAATCACGAAACTTGGCGAGATGTCATGTTATCGCATGTGTAGGCTGTGGTAAAAAATTTAGAAAGTTTCGAGTAAGTTGTGACGATCACATGTGGAGATGTCTGGGTATTGGGCATCCGACGTCACAACTTACTCGAAACTTTCTAAATTTTTTACCACAGCCTACACATGCGATAACATGACACCTCAACAAGTTTCGTGATTTTCAGACTTCGTATGTATTTTATATAATTTAAAAACACTTTTCCAACAAGTTCCTCGTCGTGTTACGTGAAGAAGATGCCCGAAATTTGATGCGAGTTCGTGGATAGGGAATCAACATACACCAAATACCATGAATATTTTTTCGAATCACTAAATTGCATTATTCCATCCACCTGCAGTTCAAATTTGAAATATTCGAAAAAAATCAACGAAAAGAAATAAATTAGGGAAATATATAAAAAAAACAAAATTAGCCTAAATTTTAAAATTGAGTTTTATATAATGTATTATAGCACCACAAAAAAACTGGGTTCAAAAAAAAAATTTGCCGAGAGTCTAGCCTAGCCCTCGGTAAAGGAGATCTTTACCGAGGCGTGACCAATGACTCTCGACAAAGAAAATTTAAAAAAAAATAAAAAAATCTTTATCGAGGGCCCTGAATCTGGGCCGTTTGGCCCCAACCCTAAATCGGCCAGCGGGCCAAAATCGCCGCCCACACAACACCATTACGCTGCGCTTGCCGCTTGCTTGCCGCCGCCTCCCGCCCGCCTGCTTGCCCGCCGCTTGCCCGCCCGCCACATGCGCCCGCCCGCCGCTTCAAGCCGCCCGCCTCGCCTCTCTCTGGTCGCGCCGGCGCGCCCGAGGCGACTCCTTCAAGCCTTCGGACTCCTCGCCGGTGGCCTCGGCGATGGCTTGTCGCCGTGTGGAACCCGCCCGAGCATGATCAGTCCGGATCCGCCTCCCTCGCCCCAACTTCGCACTTGAGATCTGCTCCCGTTCGATTGAATTGCATCATTGTTTCAGCTCGAGGGAAAGCGGAGGACGCCATGGTCGCGTGTGCGGAGAAGCACACCGGGCACGTGAGTCGCGCAGGCTGGCTAGTTAGTTTTACGCTTCTGGCGCTGGCGTTCGACGGGGTTGGCGTCGTGTCTTGATTATGTTTGTGTTGATCTGCGAGTTTGTGGACTGGAGTTCATGAGCTCACGCCGAATAGGCTCGCTTCTGGGGCTGAGCACGGGGAGCTTTGCATCTGGGATCTCAAGAACCCTGTTGAGCCAATTGTGTACCCACCACTCAAGGTACTTGCAGTTTTGTACAGAGCTTATTGTCATACAAGAGGATTAAGGATTTGCCCGATTGGTTAATGGTTATTCATGAGATGCATGGTTTCTGCTACTCACGGCTTGTAATGATTCAGTGGTGCTTTTTATTCCATGGTAAACATGATGCCATCTTGCGTGCTTACGGTGACCCTAGCATGATTTTTGTCATTCCAGACGGAGATGTTTTGAGTTATATGTAGTAGCATTCTCATTTTTAATTTTCATTCAGTATGAGCAGAACTGGCTACACTATTTGATGCAGGGATAAAACTGAGGGACTTTAGACTGATTGTGCAAGATTATAGTCGTCCTTTATGATCTGGATGTTTGCGCCTGTGCTACACTAGTCCGTTGAATGCAAACAAAGTTTTTACCCTGTAGAGTCCTTTATGTTATCTTACCGCGTTTCCATGCTTGTTCTTTCATATGATCGATGTGGGTTGCTGTTAATGAAAAAATAAAGTTGAGGTTTAGGGCATGTGACATAGTTGTAAAGCAGGATGTGTTTGGATATTTCAGTTATGTCACTATGGTCTGGCTACATTCTTCTGTTCAACCTTTTATAGCATGTAATCATTTTTTAAAGTATAATAATTTTAACAGAGTGTTGGGTCCCATGCGCAAGCTGAAATCTCTTGTTTATCCTGGAATCCCAAGTTCCAACATATAGTTGCCTCAACTTCGAGTAATGGGATGACAGGTAAATTAAATTTTGGTTGATTCTGCAAAAGTTTAGCTATCAGTTACCATCACTTGGACTTCTGATCATTCTGTCTGACTAATTTTGTTTCCCTGCAGTTGTTTGCGATTTAAGGAATCAGAAACCACTGATTTGCTAATCCCAGGGCACAACCTAGAGGATCTCCTTTTTAAGAATTTCTTTGGCCGGAGGTTTCCCACCTGGCTAGGTACTGCTACCCATTTTCCTTCACTGACATATTTGAACCTCGTAGATTGCAAATCATGTATGCATCTTCCACCAATCGGTCAGCTCCCCAACTTGAAATATCTGAGAATCCAGGAAGCCACTGCAGTCACCAAGATTGGACCCGAATTTGTTGGCTCTGTGGTGGGTAATCTCAGATCTCCAGAGGCAGTAGCTTTCCCCAAGCTTGAAACATTGGTCATCTGTATGGATGAAAACGGTACGGATATTTATTCGACCGTCCGTTCGACCGAACAAATATGAACACTTATCTGGATAGTTACTCGGATATCCGGTTTTTTTTTCGGATACGGATACTAAAACGGATATCTTAGGCGGATATCAAATACGGATGTAATATCATCGATATCCGGCGGATATCGGATAATCCGGATAAGTATCGGATATATCCGGATATTTAAAAACGGATATTATCCGGATATTTATTCAAAATTTAAAATCACAAATTTGAACCATCCAACTATCTCAAATGGAAGTTGACCAAAACAACAATTGTAGATCTTGATGAGTTGAACAAACTTGGTATTCAAAACTTTTCAATTTGAAGTCATTTAGAGTTCATAATACTAGAGTCAAAGTGTTATTTTTTTATTTGACCAAATTTGACTTGGTCAAACTTGCTCAAATGAGACACTAAATGACCTCAGATGAAAAAACTCTGAATACCAAGTTTGATCATCTCAGCAAGATCTACAATTGTTACATAGCTTATTTTCCCATTTGAGAAAGTTTTATCAAACACTAGTCATAAATTCTTGAATCTCATATAGACTTTCTGAAACTATGTCACATACTTGTGAAATTTGAACTATATTTTGTTCAAACTTTCTCAAATGAAAAAATGGCCTATATAAGGATTGTATATCTTGATGAGATGAACAAATTTGGTATTCAAAACTTTTCAATTTGAGACAATCTAGGGTTTCGAAAACTAGTTTGTAAACGTCGAAATTTAAAAATCACAAATTTGAACCGTCCAAACTATCTCAAATGGAAAGTTGATCAAAACACAAATTGTAGATCTTGATGAGTTGAACAAACTTGGTATTCAAAACTTTTCAATTTGAAGTCATTTAGAGTTCATAATACTAGAGTCAAAGTGTTGTTTTTTCATTTGACCAAATTTGACTTGGTCAAACTTGCTCAAATGAGACACTAAATGACCTCAGATGAAAAAACTCTGAATACTAAGTTTGATCATCTCAGAAAGATATACAATTGTTACATAGCTCATTTTCCCATTTGAGAAAGTTTTATCAAACACTAGTCACAAATTCTTGAATCTCATATAGACTTTCTGAAACTATGTCACACACTTGTGAAATTTGAACTACATTTTGTTTAAACTTTCTCAAATGAAAAAATAGCCTATATAAGGATTGTAGATCTTGATGAGCTGAACAAACTTGGTATTCAAAACTTTTCAATTTGAGACAATTTAGGGTTCCGAAAACTAGTTTGTAAGCATCGAAATTTAAAAATCACAAATTTGAACCATCCAAACTATCTCAAATGGAAAGTTGACCAAAACAAGAATTGTAGATCTTGATAAGTTGAACAAACTTGGTATTCAAAACTTTCAATTTGAAGTCATTTAGAGTTCATAATACTAGAGTCAAAGTGTTGTTTTTTCATTTGGCCAAATTTGACTTGGTCAAACTTGCTCAAATGAGACACTAAATGACCTCAGATGAAAAAACTCTGAATACCAAGTTTGATCATCTCAGCAAGATATACAATTGTTACATAGCTCATTTTCCCATTTGAGAAAGTTTTATCAAACACTAGTCACAAATTCTTAAATCTCATACAGACTTTCTAAAACTATGTCACACACCTGTGAAATTTGAACTACATTT